AGTAAATTATTTAGTAAATAATAGTAAGGGTATGTTATTAGTAAATATATAGTAAATAATAGTAAAGCATATTATTAGTAAATATATAGTAAATATATTTAGTAAATAATAGTAAATTATATTATTAGTAAATATATAGTAAATTATAGTAAAGTATATTACTAGTAAATATATAGTAAATATATTTAGTAAATAATAATAAAGTATATTATTAGTAAATGTATAGTAAATATATTTAGTAAATAATAGTAAATTATATTATTAGTAAATAGATAGTAAATTACTTAGTAAATAATAGTAAAGTATATTATTAGTAAATAGATAGTAAATTATTTAGTAAATAATAGTAAAGTATATTATTAGTAAATAGATAGTAAATTATTTAGTAAATAATAATAAAGTATATTATTAGTAAATGTATAATAAATTTAGTAAATAATAGTAAAGTATATTATTAGTAAATATATAGTATATTATTTAGTAAATAATAGTAAAATATATTATTAGTAAATATATAGTAAATATATTTAGTAAATAAATAGAGTATATTATTAGTAAATTATTAGTAAGAGTATATTATTAGTAAATATACTTAGTAAATTTAGAAAATATATTTTCCGGCCGCATAAATTCAGACGTACAAAAAGTGTCGCGTGAAAAGTGAGACGTCGCGCAAATGGATGTCCCCGCAAGAAACTGGAGAAACGATAGCGCGAGGAATCGTTTCGTACCTGCGCTAATTAGAAGACACGCGTGAAAAGCACGTGCTCGCGTCTGGTTCAGCGTGCCGCGGAATTGCTCGCGCGTGCGATACTCGCGAAACGAGGGAAACCCCGTGAACGCAAAGCAGTGAACGCTGCTCGCCGCCTCGCGGCTTCGTGCAATAATGAAAATTAGAATCTGCGCGTGGTGACCCGAAATTATGAAGGAAGTTCGTCCTGCTTCTCTCTTTGCCGCGCTCAAAAATAGTACGGTGTCTCGACCGGTCCGGGGTTAACGCGCGCGTGTGTGCGCGCGTGTGTGTGTGTGTGTGTGTGTTCTCGCGCTGACTGAGCACACGTGAAAAGTCTCGCACACGCGACCGTGGACGTAAATACACGCGTGCCTCCGTGGAATACGAATGCACGCACACACGTGCAAACAGAGGAACACAGATTCTCTGTGTGTGTGTGTTCAGGACACAAACGAGTTCATTTACGCGCGCTAACGAAAGAGAGGACGAGCGTGTGCGAGCAATACGTACAAGGTAGCATGATTCGGTACGCACGGTGACTAATTCCTTTCTACCGTCGAGCTCTCCAAATCCTCTCCCGACCTGTGTCTCCTCGTGTGTGCGTTCTATTCTTCCGATTCGCCTCTTCATTCTCTCCAAAGCTTTCTCTCTCTTGAGAAAGAGAGAGAGAGAGAGAGAGAGATTTGACACGCGAGAAATATTGGCGTTTATCCAAAACAATAACGCGTGTTCGCGACGAATCTCTTTGCCTATTTTTTTTTTTTTTTTGCCATTTGCCGTGAAAAGAAACTCGAACCAGGGGCGATGCTTCTCGTTTACGTTTCTTGGCGGAAGGAACGGAGCGGAGCGTCTTCCGGTCGCTCGAGGTGATTAGGAAGAGCTCGCGTGTCTCGAGCGGTCGGAGGAAGCGTTAATTGACTGTTTCGAAAGGGCCTTCGTTAAAGTAATAGGAAGATGATAAACGGATATAATTGAAAATGAATTTTTCCCGTTAGTCACGAGAAACCAGATATGTCGCGAGAATTTTCACATTCAGACCGATTGGTTTGTCGTTTTTCGATTCGATTTCATAACGATTTGCGTTTGACAAGTGAAGAAACTAGGACTAACTGTAAAATACGACAGAGCACACAAGCTTTTATTTTACAAAGAATCGACCGGTTAAACAGATCTTATTTTATCAGTATCTGGAACCAATTGAAAGAGACGTAAACTCGATCGTATTAACGCAAGGTTGTGTACGGTGCATGCACGAGTATACTGTAAACAGAATATCTCACAGTCAGTGACAAAAACGTAACTAATGGTTTTGGATCCTACGTTTACTAACAAGTTGTAAGAATTTTTTGCTTGTTTCGACGAGTACCACACGGTTCTGATGTTTGGCATCGACTCTCTTACAATTGGTTGCCCTCTTTAACACTAGAACTACCATAGTGGTTAAAACGACCAATTTGTAATTTTTATTGCATATTTACACAATAATAATATTATATTTAATATATAATATTATAATACATAATACAAAATATATAATATTATATTTAGTACATAATATTATAATACATAATACAAAATATATAATATTATATTTAGTACATAATACGTAATACATAATATATAATATTTAGTATATAATATTATAATGCATGATACATAATACATAATATTATACATCTATTATTAATATTACATATCTATATTACATTATACATAACATTATAGAAGAAAAATAAAATATTAAAATACAATTACATATTGCAATATAAGGATATTAATTATACAAATTTTATATATTTATTAAACTCGAGATATATAATTTCATGATATAACATCTCGGAATTAATTTATATCAATTGTATACATAATTAAATTAAATGTACATTATATAAGCATACATACATTACAGTATAATATATAAATAAAAGCTTACGTACTGGTATCGTAAAGTTATATTACATTATACATAATATTACACATCTATATTACATTGTACATAACATTATAGAAGAAAAATAAAATATTAAAATATAATTACATATTACAATATAAAGATATTAATAATACAATATTTATTAAACTCAAGATATAAAATTACATGATATAACATCCTGGGATCAATTTATATTAATTAAATATACATCATTAAATTAAATGTACATCGTATAAGCATACATACATTATACAGTATATAATGTATAAATAAAAGCTTTACGTACTGGCATCGTAAAGTTTCCTATTTCTTTTTTTTCTTTTCCTTTTTTTAATTCAACATCTCTGATGGAAATTTGAATCACCCGTGTGTTAGTTCCAATTAAAATTTAATTCCACGTGACGTGACAAATGACTTTTTCAATTTGCTGGGCGGCACTCGTATTGTAACGATGCAATTGCAATTTTCCGGTTCCACGAAATTCGAATGAACCCGATTGTCGTCATTAAGTACAGGAGAAGTTGATCTAATCGTAATGTCTTTGATAGACAGAAACGCGTCCAGCAGACAGAAACGATAAAACTATGCGAAGGTTGCACAAGGGGGAGGCCGCGTAGGCCTCGCGTGCGCCGCAGTTAATAAACGTAAGTGTGCCTATACGATTGCAACAGAGGCAGAAGAGATAACGTTCCTGTATTGGCTGACGCTCGTGGAACGCGTGATTAAAATGCGAATGAAAACGGCGTGCCCGTTTTGTCGACGGTAATGACGAAAATCGACGAACAATTTCACAGGCAGACGTTCAATTTCGAAACACCTGTCACCGCGGTGTAAATTCGATTTATAGGGTAGCAAGTCCGATTGATGGCGGGTCTTTATTTGCTGGAAATTACTGTCACTTGTCAGCTAATAACTTTATACAACTCTGATTGAAACTCTGTTGATCATCTTGTCAAAGTTTATCTTTCTTTCTTTCTTTCTTTGGCCCGACAGAGTTTTTTCGATTAAATGAAGAAGAAACGAGAGAGAGACCTCGGAAATATTTTATTTACAAGCAGAAAGGTTACGTACATCATAGTTTACGTGCATGATTTTCGGTAAAGCTAAAATAAAATGACCCTGAATAAGAAAATTAAAAAAAATATGTAATGAAAAAATTGCGGATTTATTTTAGTAGGAAGTGATTTTTGGCCCGCCCTTACGGTATTATACACCATTATGTTATTTTGAGAGTGATGTTATTTGGAAAGGAGTTTCATTCTGATGAAATTTCTGTTATTTGCTCGAAATTTTAAGTATAACTTTGTCACTGGTGACCAAAAACATACAGAATGAGAGTAAAAAAGATCGCAAAATTCTGGGAATTCGAGTCGATACAATTTCCTTGGGAGAATGCAGAAAGGTACTTTCTTCGAAGATTATTTTAACAAATATTATAAATTTGTCAAAAAATAACATAATGGTGTATAATAACATAAGGATGGGCCAAAAATCACTTCCTATTAAAATAAATCCACAATTTTTCCATTACATATTTTTAAAATTTTCTTTCTTTCACAGATTTTTGAAACGTAATAGAAAAAAATCACTGTTTGAACTTAAATTTAATTAAAAATCAATGAAATCAGTTTTCTAATATTTGTACCTTGATGTTCCATTAAAAAAAAAAAAAAAAAAAAGGTGGAAAGAAACTTTTGGCCCATCCTGTATCTTTTAAAGGATAATATTAAAATATATAATATATATAACGTTAAAATATATAATATATGTAATATTGAAATATAAAATATATAATATATGTAGTATTAAAATATAAAATATATAATATATGTAGTATTAAAATATAAAATATATAATATATGTAATATTAAAATATAAAGTATATAATATATGTAATATTAAAATATAAAATATACAATATATGTAATATTAAAATATAAAATATGCAATGTATCTAATATTAAAATATAAAATATACAATATATGTAATATTAAAATATAATATGTACAATATATGTAATATTAAAATATAAAATATACAATATAAGTAATATTAAAATATAAAATATACAATATAAGTAATATTAAAATATAAAATATACAATATACGTAATATTAAAATATAAAATATACAATATACGTAATATTAAAATATAAAATATACAATATACGTAATATTAAAATATAAAATATACAATATACATAATATTAAAATATAAAATATACAATATACGTAATATTAAAATATAAAATATATGTAATATTAAAATATAAAATATATAAATTTAAATTTTTGGATGCAAAAGAGTTAACCACGTGTTGTTTCTATTGCAGATCTATACCGATTGGGCCAACTACTACTTGGAGCGAGGCGGGTGCAAGAGAAGGGTGACAGACCTTCAGTCAGACCTCTGCGACGGTGTCCTTCTCGCTGACCTAGTCGAGGCAGTCAGTAAGTATATTATTAAATTTCAATTATCACACGCGCATTTCTCTCTCTCTCTCTCTCTCTCTCTCTCTCTCTTTCTCGAAGTGAATGAAACAGGCGTCGATAATAAAGTGGCCAAATAACAGTACTCAATGGCCGAATCGTTTATGGTATTGGACAGTTAGCCATAACACATAAATCGTCAGTAAAGTCGTTAGTCCGCGGGGTAACGTGGTCACGTGCCGTACGCGCACGCCATGTGTAATGCACGCGCCTCGATAAATTCACGATTTGCTGGCCGTTAGCTGACAAAGGAACGTATCATTGTGCATTAATTATTCTTTTTATTTTTTTTTTTTTTTTCGTTGCAGCCAATCAGAAGGTGATCGACGTGAACAGGAAGCCGAAGAACGCTCAACAAATGGTGAGTCCTCTTTTGCATATTCGTTGATCATATTTATCCGTGTCTCTGCTGGCTGAGCTTGCAAAGATTAAAACGAGACTTCGAGAACTGGTCTCGCAGTTTTGTCGTAGCGTCGTGGAACTCAAATTTTCAAACGATTCGCTTGTATCAATGTTATTTTCGTGTCGTTGTCGTTTCGACGTTCATCGCGACGTGCTTCGACATTTGACGTTTTTAAATAAGCATTGATAGGTAACAGTTTGACTTTTTTCTTTCTTGACTTATTAAGTAAGTAGACGAGTTTATTACAGACATCACTGAGATTTCTTGAGGTTTTTTATTGACTCGTGATTTCTGATTCTCGCTTATATCGACGATATTTCTTAATATATTATTTATACATATTTATAAATATTATTAATAGATATTTGATGAAACGTCGAGATATAAGAAAAAACGAATTTTATTAGTTTTGAATTAAATTTAAAATTATGAATTTATTTCAGTAGGAAGTGATTTTTGGCCTATTTATAGAATTTAACATTTTCGAACGAGTGCCGACTTTTATTATTTTTATCACTGAGATTTCGTGACTTTTTTATTGATTTGTGATTTCTGATTTTCACTTATATCACGATATTTCGCAACATAACATTATTTAATGAAATTTAATTAATATTAATATAATTAAATTTCGTAATATAATATTGTCTAATGAAACATCGAGATATAAGAAGAAAAAAAAAACGAATTTTATTAATTTTAAATTAGATTTAAAAATACGGATTTATTTATAGTAGGAAGGATTTTTGGCCACCCTATAGAATTTGACATTTTCAAACGAGTATCGACTTTTACTGCAGATACCACTGAGAATGAGATTTCGTGAATTCTTTATTGATTTGTGATTTCCGATTTTCACTTTATATTCCGTGTTGTTTTGTCATTTATCTCTGTTTTGACATATACAGGGTAGGCCAAAAGTTTCTTCCCATCTACTTTCTTTTTTTTTTTTTTTTTTTTTTTTTTTTTTTTAAATGAAACGAATAGTTCATAATTGACAATTTATCAATATAAAGTGACATTTAGCGAAGAACGTCAGAGTTCCGTTTTTTTCAAACGGAATTCATCACGTAGAGAGAGGAAATGTGTACAAAAATGTGTTCAGCCTCGTGGCGGCGAGACTCGATCGCCCATAAGCTTGCAGACGTTTACGGGTTGTCTTTTAAAAATAGAAAGCCTATGACTGCATTCGGCGTGTATAGATGAAATCTAGACGAACGTGTCGTGCTCCGTGCCGTATCCTCGGTTTCGTTGCTTCATTATAATATTTCATACTTCTTACTTTAATAATACTTTATAGTCGATTATTCAAATCATCGTATTGTTATTCAAAATCATTTCACTTTTATTACGCTTGTTATCTCGTTCGATCGAGAGAAGTCTGACAGAAATGAACGTTCTGGTTCTCAGATACGATTTTCAAACAGAGATCTAACGATCTTTCAATTATCGTAAACTCTTGCACAATTCGATAATTAGTATTTCCTGATGGTTAGTTAAATATTGTCACCTGCCAGTGGATCTTTCTCTCTTTTTAAATTCACAGCGTAAATATTATCACGTATCGTCTGCAACATATATACGTTTCGCGATGAGAATACGCGATTATCTCGTCGAGTGAGGGAAACCCCTCCATTAGAAAAACGTTGACGCGATGTCCAACCTAGAGTCCACGCAGTGACATTCCTCGGTTGCGTCTCGGCTCTCGTCACTTTTCGATTCTAATCTCGAAGTCGTAAGAAAAAGGAGAAACGTGAAACAGGGATGAGGTAGGGACGGGCGAGCGTTTTATGGATTCCAACTGCATCTCGGTGAAAATGAGCTGCGTCACATCCGGATAGAGATCGACCAAGCCGAGTTACACATTGCGCGACAACGCCTCCTCGTGTTCTCCATTTGCATAATCTCGATAGGAGACGCGATGCCGATCGAAGATGAGTGAAGATAACGCCCGTAACGTTAAAAGTAGCATGTAACCACGTACCTCGAGAGGGTTGTGTTTCTAATCCGATTTGCCACGACTACAATTACACCGAGTTATCGTCTCTCGACGACGAGAAGGCAAAGAGAAACGGAGAGACTACAGAGTGTCCATAAAGTCTCTTTACAATTTCGAAAATTTATTGCAAAGGCAAATGAAAAGACAGATAAGTGGAAATTATTACAAAATGGGACGGGTATATTTAAGTTTCTTTCCACCTCATTTGATACACCTCTATATAGGTACCATTACTAATAGTATCCATATAGAGGTGTATTAAAAGATATAAATATACAGGGTGTCCATAAAGTCCATTTACAATTTCAAAAATTTATTACAAAGGCAAATGAAGAGACAGATAAGTGAAAATTATTACAAAATGGGACGTGTATATTTAAGTTTCTTTCCGCCTCATTTAATACACCTCTATATAGATACCATTACTAACAGTGTCCATATAGAGGTGTATTAAAAGATATAAATATACAGGTTGTCCATAAAGTCTCTTTGCAATTTCAAAAATTTATTGCAAAGGAAAATGAAAAGACAGATAAGTGGAAATTATTACAGAATGAGACGTGTATATTTAAGTTTCTTTCTGACTCATTTAATACACCTCTATATAGATACCATTACTAATAGTGTCCATATAGAGGTGTATTAGAAGATATAAATATACAGGTTGTCCATAAAGTCTCTTTGCAATTTCAAAAATTTATTACTAAGGAAAATAAAAAGACAGATAAGTGGAAATTATTACAGAATGAGACGTATGTATTTAAGTTTTTTTTTTTTTTTTGCCTCATTTAATACACCTCTATATAGGTACCATTACTAATAGTATCCATATAGAGGTGTATTAAAAGATATAAATATACAGGGTGTCCATAAAGTCCATTTACAATTTCAAAAATTTATTACAAAGACAAATGAAGAGACAGATAAGTGGAAATTATTACAAAATGGGACGTATATATTTAAGTTTCTTTCTGCCTCATTTAACACACCATTAGTTGCACGAAGCAGATCAAGACGGTACTCGATTTCTTACACGATCGAAGTTTTCCTCGGATATGTTCTTGATCCACTTCTCCCTTTATCGAACACTGTCCCTGTCTCCATAAATTTCTTGTGCCATGCACGAATTGATAGACGTGACGGTAGATTTCTTCTTCCATACTTAGTTCTGAAATTTCGCTGAGTCTGCAGATCCGATTTGATTTCGATAAATCTGATGATACACACTGTGCCTTCTCTTGAGGAGTAGCCATTTTGTAAGGGGTTCGTTTAACAGTATCTTAATCATCAACAGGGTATCTAAAATGCAATGTGATAAAGACAAAATGTGTTGATAACCACCGAGTACATGGAACAAATCTGACGAAGATATCTCATCAGTTGCCTTTGTGACAAATTTTTGAAATTGTAAAGAGACTCTATGGACACCTTTCATGGGGTTATGTTAAAGATATCGTCTATCGAACAAAAGTAGGGGACATCAGTAATCTAAAGCAGAGGATCACCGATGCCACCGTTGATAAAAGTATGCTACAGCGAACGTGGCAAGAAATCGAGTGCCGTTAAATAAGGCAAAAGAAACTTGAATATATACGTCTCATTTTGTAATAATTTCCACTTATCTGTCTTTTCATTTGACTTTGTGATAAATTTTTGAAATTGCAAAGAGACTTTATGGACACCCTGTGTCGAACATCGAACGATTTTTTTATAATTCTGCGACAGACCAAAATTTGTGACTCGACTCGAGTGCAATTTCTCAATTTCATAACCAGAGTTGTTGCTCGTTGTAGTTTGATGTCTAAAATGGCTCGCATAGTTTCGTGGTTAATGAATTTTTCTTCCAACTATGTAATAGTACATGCATACTCGTTCGACGACAGGGACAGCGATGGTCTTCACGATGCAATCACGTAGCAATGCAGTTACGTTCACGTTGGTGCGTAGGCGTATCTAATTTGCAACGCATGAGAGCGTGTCCAATCTCTAATTCGCACGTGATTTTCTAATATATAATCGAACAAGAAACGATTTAGCATATAATGGGAAATTTTTCAAAGGACAGAATTAATCACGTCTTATTGCACGGTTGGAAGTATTTTTACGAACGTCTAAAAATGGCCGTTGGCCCTTAGAAGACATTAAAAAGCAGAAGGTTCGATAGTTGAACTTACGCCTCGCTTGAACGCACTTCGTCTGTCGTTGGTATTGAAAGTTTCGTACGGTAGCAAAAGCAGTATTTTTAAAAATGGCCCCTGTTAAGGAACACAAGAGCAGGGAAGGTTCGATAGAGTTGAACTTACACCTCGCTTGAACGCGTTTCGTCTGTCGGCGGCATTAAAAGTTTCGTTCGACATTAAACGATTAATTCCTCGATGACCTAGTAAAGTTGCAGCAAGTTCCCTCAAAGGTTCTCCCAAACGTTCTGACGTTCAGCCTGAGTTTTGTCGTGGAAGATTTAACCAACAATAACCAAAAAGAAAAAAAGAAAAAAAAGAAAGAGCAATTTATTCAGTGCTGTAAAGATCTAGAAGAGAGACCGGAGGAGCTGTTCGAAAGTTTTGCTACCCTCTGTTAGAAACGAGTGCGTGATCCGTAGTTCGTCGCGACGCGTTCGCTTTCCAATTTCGCGGTGTCGAGGGTGGACGAAGGAAAGAAGAGGGGCCCCCCCGGTCTATAATTAAAGCGACACGAGTGTGTTTGCGTGTGCACGCACGGAAACCATACACACACACACAGACACAGACACACAGTGCTGAGATATATGCACCGCGAAGCTCGAATCACGTGTTTTTCCTACGAGGTTCGCGTACGCACGCGACTTACCGGCACGTTACCTCGCAGTCCATAGCTACACTCGCGACACGTTCCTTTCGTAAACTAAAGGGAACTTTTAGTAGTTTCCCCTTTACCAGAGACAAACAGGAAGTCCTCGATCGCTCCAGAAATCGACGCCGAT